CTTAGTGACAGTGTGAGGTAAGGCAGGTAATCCATAGCTGGCATTAACACTACAGAAACACCAGTCCTTCATCTTATATGTCTGCACTAAACAGAGGAACATTAAAGCGATTTTTTTAATGCTCATTTATCTCAACATTCATCTGGTTGAAGGTTTGAACAGTAGGTGGGTGGAGCTGCACATTCACAGACCTCTTCTGAAACTTGTGCCATGTTATCAGCATTTAAATAGTATATGCATGACAGAAGATGAGAAAAAGCATAATCAGGCCCATTTAAACAACAGTTTTAATAGTCAGGATATTATGGCATTTGCTGTACTCTGTATATTATGCAAGTGCTAGCTCAACAAGCTGGTACCTCATCACAAATCTAAATCCATGTTACACTCGTGAACCTCGGCCCAGACTGCAGACACGGAGCTGTAAATACCAGGCCAAGGAAAAGAAAAAAAAAAAGCTAAACAACTTGAGGCCCAAAGTCCTGGGTTTGCAAATTCCAAGCATTTTTCACTCTGCTGGAGCCACCTAGACTCACAGGGAGATACGACTGTAGCAGAGCTGGGATTTCACGGTAGAGGTGAAACATAAAGCTGCGGGCTGCTTATCGCCGTCTCAAGGCCTGATTTTCTTAAGACATGTATAAAGGGAAAGGTCTGTGCTGTTGTGAGCAATCTGGACTAATAACCAGACATTGCCAGGTACTGCACTGTGCTCCATCGGTGAGCAGCAGTGTACCGCTCCTGTCAGTGAGGAGAGGAGCCTGCTAGGCTGCAGGCTCTTTTGGCTGGCAGTTTTTTGGTGGATAAAGGATCTTTGGCTGAGAAAGTGGGGCTACTGGCCAGAGGAAGGGAGCAGAGGGAGAGAGAAGGGGGGTTGGGACTCTGAGCTTTTATTTTTTTCTAGTGAAAGGCCATTTCACTGCCTGCTGTTACCATAACAACAGGCTACAGACCAGGGGAGGTGGAGGGGTGCATCACAAAGTTTCTCTTCTGGCTGCAAGACACCAAGCACTGGGGCTGCTACGGGACAGCGATTAAAAATCTATAGCAGTGGAAAAAAAGGGGGCCATAGTGCAAATTGTTCCCCCGCAGACGACTAAATCACTGGCTGCTTGTTTTCTTTTCTTGTCACAGATTGTAAAAGGGCATTTGTGTTGTGTGTGTGTGCCCGCGTGTGTTTTCTCCACCAAGATCAGAATCTATGGGGCTTGAGTTCCTCTGATATATTGATGCAGATTGCTTTGAAGCTGTGCAGATGCTCCCTAAGAGAAACCAATACAATAAAATAAATAATCGCCAGCATGAGTTTGGAGACACATTAAATCAATATGATATTGACGCTGCATTATGGAACTAGATGTCATATTGCGTTTTGGTCATGGCAAGATATCAATCGAATGATGCGTTTCTGGTCTTACAGGCTTCATTACAACTGATTGAGCCAGTTTCCAGAACTTATTCAACTGCCGAGTGAATCCAAACATAACCGCTTTTTACATCCTACATGTACATCTACATGTACACCTACATCCAACGACCAAGATCTAAATAAAGCGCACAGTTTCATGTTGTTACATGAAACACATTACAGTGATTTTTATCAGTTACGCCTAGCTGTGTGCAAAAGCTGGGCATTTTGAGAGACACTGGTTGGGATTTTTGCTCCTGAAACTGGGAGTATTTGGCTGCAGGACATGACAACAGCATGGCAGCAACAAAGATTGAGAACAAGTGCCATTCATTTCTCAGATACAACGTAGCCACGAACAGCTGAGCTCAGTTGTCACAAAGTGTCAAAACACCGCAGTGAAAATGACAGCGTCGTTTATAACTTAAACGGGAAAAACTGCGGCGTATCCCCCAACACACACACACACACACACACACACACACACAAGCACACGTACCGGTCCGCACTGGGGCTGTGTACGATCTGACTGTTCAATTTTTACAAGTCATCATCTGCCCGGCAGGAGAGAACTAGGCCTGTAGCTATATTGAGCACCACCCCGCAGCCCTTTTTCAGATTCCATTTAAATGCGACATGTGCTGTGTGTGTGCGGACCCACAAGGGCGAGGAGTGGCGCAAAAAGAAAGGAGCTGGGATTAAATTTAGGGCTTTCTGTATGTCTGCTTACCTGCAGATGCTCCTGAAATCGTATCGGCAGTATCTGAGCCATTTCTGGAGGGTTTCTCTGCCTGAAGAGTCCGCGAGGAAGGAAAGGGGAAGGGGACAACAAGAGGATAAAGGTGGTGTTCTTCTTTGTGTGCCCTAAATGCCCAAAAAGTCAAACTGATGGGCAGTAGTAGGTAGTCTGGGTGGCTTGCGTTGGTATCATACGAATCCAGTGACTGCTCCCATTCAGTAGCCCCCCTTACACCAGTCCTGAATCAAAAACTCCGCACCTCCGCTAAGAAAACTAGTCCACTTCAACTACTACTGAGCCAAACCATCTCCTCCCTGAGCCTTGTAAGGATATGGGCAGTCTTAAAAGCCCGTGCTTACTTATTGAAACGGATAACTTCACATGTGACGCCCCACCCTTGGATTTTTTTTATTATTATTGTTTTCTCTGAGCTGTCAATGAATTCAGTTGAACGCGCATTTTGTACCCCTCCGCCGCAGCCCCTTCCCCCTTCCTTTCCACCAACTTCGAAATCAGGGCTCGTGACATGCGCCCCACCTTTGCATAATTACCACACAATCACACATATGCAGTCATCTTTCTATAAAATGTGCTTCTGAATGGATGATCAGAGGACTGCCGACCTTTCAAATCGTGCTTTTTCCAAGCAGCTTTTTTACGTCAGTGACCCTCTCCCATCATCACCGTGGTGCATGGAGTGCAGCAAGACATGCACAACTAAAAAGTACATTTCAGTATAATGTTAACATCGACAACCTTTCTGGCGTGTCATCAATGAGAGTAAGTCTATGAGGGTGAGGAATAGAAAATGTGGTTTCTGCTTTATTTAAAAGTCAAACCATTTACACCATACTTTCTGGGTTTGTGGTTTCTTTGAAACATAGTTCCTTTGAAAAACAGCAAAGCCTCATTTACATTTCAGACCAGACATGAATCAGTATAACGTGCAGTAATATGAACATCATTTAAAATGCCTATTCCAGAAGGGTAGTCTTGCTCCATGTAGTATTTACTAGTGACATATTAAAACTTAAAATGAGTAGCTTTGAAAAATATGAAAATAATAATAATAATAATACATCTTTTAAATGCAGATACCACATGTAAAAATTATGTGATTTTAGTCCAGTCCATGTATCAAAGTCTATGACATCCTAAAACTAAATGCAAAAATGACTGGAGGGAATTTTAATAGAAGTTATTGTTAGCTACTTTTCATTGACTGAAATGAATGTTAGACCATGAACACAAGTTTGTCATACCAGCAGTCACCCTGTAGCAGAGCTTAAAGATTAAAATTACACTCACTGGTTCCAGGAAGTTATTTAGCAGACTTTATTTATTTATGCAAATATTTCTATTTGCAGTCCCACAAACATCTGTGTTTTTAGCCACTGCTGCAAGCTTTTGTGTGACATTACTAGACAACATAAAGCATTTTAATTCCCTTAAAAACATTAGTCAGTTGGTCAAAATTAAAGAGCGCAGAAACATGATGATGCCTTGACTGTTAAGCAAGGATATGAGTGTCATATGTAACTGCACCACATATAGGTTCATTACATACATAGGCTAAAACATTGCATTGCATCTAATCCATGCAATGCAGGTAACTTCAGTGATTCATCTATAATGCAAATTGACACTTTTGTTGATAAATCACATACTAATTATTCTTTGTCTTCTTTTTTTGGCTGCTCTCTTTAGGGGTCGCCCCAGCGAATCATCTGCCTCAATCTGATCCTATCCCGAGAATACTCCTCTGTCAACCCTCTGCATGTCCTCCTCTACATCCATGAACTTTCTCTGAGGTTTTCCCTCTTTTCTGGTGCTCCATATTCTGCATCCTTTATCCAACATATCCACTATACCTCCTCTGCACACATCCAAACACTGTTTTTATCAGTGCCACCATCTCCAAACAATACATAACACATCATATGAGGTCTCACCACCATATTTTATTCTTTCATCTACAATATTAGAAAGAAACACAAATTAGACAAAGATGTGTGAGCAAACACCTGGTGAGTGTAGGAAGGAAAAACACTGTAAAAGCAGGAAGAACCTCCAGTCCAAAACCAGACTCAGGGAGGTTCTGCACACAGTTGGAGACAGAGTTTAATCATTGATAATGGTTAAATGCAATAGTGGTGTATAAGCACATTGAAAAAGAAAAGCTGCAAGGGAAGAAGAAAGACCCTCACCTACACACACACACACACACACACACAGCAGGCCAAGTCTATTGCAGCATAACTAAGACATGGTTCAGGATCACCTGATCCAGCCCCAAATAAAACCTTTATTAAAAAAAGAAAGTTTATTCTAGCTTTAAAAGTAGACAGCAGCTGTCTCACGTATGCAAACTGGGAGCTGGGAGACTCCTGACTTCTTCATACAGTATCACACTAATTGTTCTACCAGGTGGTTTTAGGGTTGGTTTTATGATTAATCCTCACAGGAAGCATGTGACGTAAGTGTATGAGGAAAATGATAAAATGTAAAGTTTTGGTCTGTTTTGTACAAATTAGTACAACAATACACTGAAAAGGCAGAGTACACAAAATATAATAGGTCAAAGTCATTAAAATAACCAAATGGAAAGACACAATTAAATTCAAACTTGTAGTGTATACATATATTTATCTCAGTGGTGCATCACACATAAGTATTATAATATGAATGAGCAGGAAAGATAGATAGATAGATAGATAGATAGATAGATAGATAGATAGATAGATAGATAGATAGATAGATAGATAGATAGATAGATAGATAGATAGATAG